ATGCTTCAGCGTTTGATGATGAGCTTCAGGAGGCTCATGAGGAGCCTGTGGAAGAGATAGCTGTTCAGAGTGTTCCTGAGGTGGCCAAAGAGATGCCTGAAAGAGCTGTGGAGGACAAACCTGTAGAAGAGACACCTCAGACCAGCCAGGCCGCTCATCATGGCCCATATTACTACTTCTATCAAGGTGTGTGTGTGTGAGTCTGTTGGTAATGATGTTTAAAGCTACTTTTCAGGTAACTTTTTTTACACGCAAGCAATGGAAATGGAGACTAAATATTATGTTATTTCTCTCTCTTTTTTTTTTTGTAGCTGAGGATGGTCAGCAGATGTTTCTGCATCCAGTGAACGTGCGCTGTCTGCTGAGAGAGTACGGGAGCCTGGAGAACAGCCCTCAGTCGATCACGGCTAACGTAGTGGAGATTGATGGACAGACTGTCACTGAGGTACACGCATCTCTTATTCTCACACATTCATGTCACCAGAGTAGTGGTAGCTGTTGTCAGAATGCAATGCTAGTCTACTGCTTACTGAAAACTTTATACTAGAGTGAAAGAGCAGTGTGGTATGGTGCTATCATGCCTAATGTCTGAAGTCATAGCACCACTGAAGCATGCTTGACTGGGGTACATTTATATCACACTTGCAGAATCAGGTCTTGAACTGATTCAGTAATGCCTACCATTAAGAAACTGATCGACAGGCTTCATTTTTAGGAAATTCGCCGTCGACATCGTTACCTCTCTCACCTGCCCCTCACCTGTGAGTTCAGCCTGTGTGAGCTCAACCTTCAGCCTCCCATTCTCTCAAAAGAGACCCTGGACAGCTTCGCAGGTACATGCACATAAACATTAAACTATTAAACCCCATCATGACACCCACATAGATGAATAACAGACAGTGGTTGAAGAGGTCAGCCAATGTTTTAGAGAGTAGTCTCTTATGCTCACAAAGGCTGCATTTATTTGACCAAAAATACAGTAAAAACATTAATATTGTGGAATATTGCTACAATTTAAAATAACCGTTTTATTTTTTAATACATTGAGCTGTATCTTATTCCTGTGATGGTAAAGCTGAATTTTCAGCATCATTACTCCAGTCTTCAGTGTCACATGATCCTTCAGAAATCATTCTAATATGCTGATTTGCTGCTCGAGAAACATTTCTTATCTGTGCTGAGAACGGTTGTCCTGCTTAACATTTTATTTTTATTTTTAAATGTCATTTATTTGAAGTAATTTTATTTTCAAACAAGAAAATATAATTTTAAATATTTTTTGTAAATGTCTTTTCTGACACTTGATTTAATGCATTCTTGTTGAAGTATACTTGTTGCATAGTGATATCATAATTGCGGTTTCATTAATTGAACTGAAGAAAAAAATGACATGACAAAAAATGAGGGAAAATGTATTGTTAAATGGTTCAGTCCTACAAAAAATTGTATTAAAAAAAAAAAGATTTTTTTCTATTTCTGTCAGATGACTTGGAGAAACGGAAGCGCCTGAGGCAGAAGAAAGCGAGGGATGAAAAGAGAAGGGAGAAGAGGATTGAAATTGAGGAAAACAGGAAACACGGCAAATGTGAGAATTTAATTCCTCATTGCATGTGTTTCTGAGCAAACATGGCACACATTTTCATGAAACTAGACAATGTTTGATTGTAGAACATTCAGCTAATTTCAGTGTGTTGTGATTGGTTTGATTATTTAATTTATTTTTGTGTGTTCTTCAGATCCAGAGGTGCACATTGGGCTTGAGAACCTCCAGCATTTTCCTGCTTTTGGATCGCCTCCTCAGAGCGGCTCACAGGTGCAGCTCCCAGAGCTCCTGCTGGGCCCCCCGTCTCCTCTAAGCAGCAGCCCTTCATCAGGTAGCACTCACTCTCTCTTGCAGTGGCCTTCAGTGGTTAGTCTTCTGTGCTTATGACCTGTTTTTATTTCAGATGGAGTGATGTTTCCTAATCTGAGTGAGCACAGTCTGTCTCTGAGCGTAGCCAGTGTGGAAGAGGATTCTCACTGCATGTCCTTCGCTCAGGTTTGCCTGTCATTTCTCTCAGACTGCCTAAAGCACTTTCTTTCATGTTTATAACAACAAAATAGTCAATTGTGTAGCCTTCATGTGGTGGGAAAATCATCACTAAAATCAAATTGAATTTAAATCGAGAAATAAAAACAATGCCATCTTGAGAGTTGTGCCTAAATGTACCATATTAATGTGTGCAGATGCTGAAAGATGGGAAAGCCCGTGTGTATGCCGGGCCTAAAACTACCCCAAAGAAAGGTGAGGGTCCTGTCATCACTTGACTTACCTGTTACACTTGTTTCTTGTTGGCTCACTGGCTACACTAACTCCTAATAGCATAGTTTTGTAGTCATTTTTAGTGGGTCTTAGTGACTTTATTAGAACCTTCAATTATTAGACCTTCAATTATTAGTAGTAATTTTTAGTGATGTGTTTTCCTCCACAGCAGACATGTTCCTGGCCCCTCCTCTGGCAGACAGTGATGGAGAGAGTGACGGCTCTGATCGGGTCCCAGTACCCAGTTTCCAAAACTCCTTCAGTCAGGCTTTTGAGCAGGCTTTGTCCCAGCTGGACCATGGAAATCAAACTCCAGCACAGGCTTTACCCATCCCTGGTGAGAGAAAAAAAAAAGATTAATATTTTAATTCACCCAAAAATGCAAATTGTTATCATTTACTCACCCACAAGTTGTTCCAAACCTGTATGAATTTCTATCTTCTGTTGAATACAAAAGATATCTTAAGGAATATAGGGAACCAACAATCTTCATTTGGAACAAATTTAGCATGAATGAATATGAAAAAGATAAAAATGTATATACTGTATATGTAATATTACTGTCACTTTGATCAATTTATTGCATCACTGCTGAATGAAAGTATTAAATTGTTTACCAAAAAAAAAAGTCTGACCCCAAGTTTTTAAACGGTAGTTCGTAGTTAAATTTAAAGAGAAAATCAAAGCACTGTTTATTTGTCACAGAAATGACAAATAATAAAATGTTAAACCACAAGTGCATAATGCCGCACAGGGACTTCTGGAAACACTTTTTAGTCATGATTCAATGAAGTGTTTCTTTGAACCTGCCGATTCATTAAAATGAAACCACACTCCCATCAGTTATCTCACTCTGAAACAAAGTATAAATGAAAGTGCTTTTTTTTTTAAATCGCTTTTGGTTTGCCATAATGTTTGTTACCCATGTGACATTTCTTCTCTCTACTTTATAGATGAGAAAGGGGGGAAGAAGAAGAAGAAAAAGCAGAAGCTTCTGTTCAGCACCTCTATGGTTCACACCAAGTAAACACTGAAGTCCACCCTTCACTCCTGTTTCTACTTCCTGCCTTATTCCTTCCATATGCTTAGGGTTCATTATGACCCTCAACAGCAGTTTCCCTCCTTTCTTCATGCCCCTGTTGAATGAGAACCTCTCCAGACATTCAGTGACCTGCAGGAAGCTCAGTATCAGCAGTGATTATACACTTGTTCTGTGTTTCTTTCAGAAAGGACATATGCTGAAATTTAAGAGCCTAGATCAGGTACATTTGACATGGTGCTGTAGTTTAGAGTTGATACTCCAATATTGTTCAGAATTAGGGTGGAGAAAAATGACATGGTTGTTGGTTATGGGTTGCAGTTATATATTTTGGGGGGTCCTGAGGTAGCAGTCAGCCAGCTGCAGAAACGTCCTGTCCCTCCATCATATATGTGACACCTTTGTACTTCAACCATGGTGCTTTGAGTCTGGGAATTAAATTTAGCAATGCTAACATCCTAAATAATGTGAAGAACCTGTGGTGAGGATTATATGCTTTTGAGTTATTCCTGTCAGACACATGCACACAAAACTATGCTGATTGTAACACATTCTTGCTTGTTTACACGCCACCACATATTTTCTTCCTGTTTATTAACAAGCTCTGAGCTCTTGGTGTGAACTTCAGTCTGTATTCAACTCTTACCAGCTGTTATTATCGGTTCAGCCTGAGAACTGCCTTTCACAATCAGACACATTAATAAGTAAAAGAAAAAATTGTTCTGCTGGAATAGCTGAGAACTTAGTGGGTCTTTAAAGCACTTGACTTTATTAGAACCTTCATTTATTAGCCAGGATTCAGAGCTGCTCATGTTCAATAGTGTTCAGATGTTAAAAGGCATCGGAGAGCAGCCGACTCCACTACTTGCTATGTGTTCAGTGAAGAAAATATGTAAAGACAGAAAAGGTTATATAAAATGTTGTAGAGGGTTTAATTTTTCTCTTTTTCTGATGAAACCTGTGATACAGAACCTGCATATTGACTAAGTTCGAATTAATAAAGGATTATGTACTGGCATTCTGTTTGTCTTGTTTAGAACTGATTTAATTTAATTTATTAAAAGACCATTCACTTTTTTTTTTTTAACATTTACATAGAAATATTTTGGCTTTTCTTATTGTAATCTCAGATGCCTTTGCAATAAAATGTTAAGTACAGGTTTATATTGATTTGGGTGTTTTCATATAGTTTGTATGATCATTGTGTGCAATTGTTTGGTTTATAATATAGTAACTTATTGTTAAAGAAAAAACAAAAACGTGCCTTTAAGATATTTTATAGTTGCTTAATGCCGTCTTTGCATGTTCTGATGCGTGCATACACATGAATGTTGTCAATTTAATCCAAACATTAAAGATGTAGACAATTTTTTAAAACAAATGTACAGACATTTAAAAAGTTAAAATGGTATTTATTTAAATAACATTGATAATTTTAACTGTTTATTTGATCATTTAAAATGTAGTTAAAACGAAATAGTAATTTAATAAAGCATTTTAGATGCACATTTTGAATAGAATTTTTAAAAAACTGCTCGCATTTCTTTGTCCTTTTGTCAGTGAAGCAGTACTATTGCATTTCACAAACCTTCACACATTCTATTCAGAGACATTTATTCTTAAGATCAAACTGGACTGGATACAGAAGGCATCATGTCTTTTTTTTTCTTGATTACACACAACTATACTAGTACAAAATGGGCAGTTGTACAATGCATTTTTCTCACAGTATTGCCAAACAAAGTCACAGATGTAAATTCATTATCAATCACTGGCTCAACTTCCCCACCTCTTCTTCCATGTCAGTTCAACTCAGAAACTAAGGCTACAAGGTAAGAATGGAAATAAAACACTTTGGTTAATTCACTTTCAGCTCGGTAAATGCTAATTAGAAACGGAAACAGTGCACAGTACTAAATAATCAGATAAGATTATTTTGTGTGTGAGTAAGAGGAGCGTAGAGGTTTTTAAGGATGTTAAGAGATGCATTTATGTATGTACGGAGCGACAACAAAATGAGAAAATGGACAGTGTTCAAGATGGGTTAGAAGGAGCAAAGGTCATTATTTGCCCCAGTCTTACATGAACACACATGTCAGACGGAGCAGATATGAAAGCCATTAATCGAGAAATGGCACTAGATGGAAATAACTGAAATAATGAAGGACCAGAAAAATCACTGGACATGCATTTAAAGCTCCAGGTACTTTGTTGCCATGGCAAGAATTGGGGCGCCTGTGGGGACACCAGGGAAGGGGCCGCTGGATCCAGCAATGTCGATATGAGAGTAAGGCAGAGGTTTGTCCGAGTCCACTCCATGCTGTGAGACAAACATGGTTAATGGATATATTTTAGCAAAAATGTTACATCTTAAATAAGTCCTGAACTGATAATACACCCATTTTGTGTTTGTCTACCTTATCCAGTCCAGAAGCCATGATGAGGAAGGCGGCAGGCGTCTGGTGTCCACGCGGTGTGGCGGACGAGGGCAGGTTATTAGACTGCAGGATCTCTTCATACTCAGACTTCCCTTTGTGGAACTCGTAATCCTCTCGACGAATGGTGGACACCTCAAACAGATCTCCCAGCACCTCTCCCGCTGCCACACAAACAGATTTCAGACAAATGAAGCTATGTTTATGGAAGCAAAAACAAACGATTCTTAGCTCTTCTTACCTTTCTGCCACTGCAGAGCGTTTCCTGAGCGTTGAGCAGCACCGTTATCCATTATGATCTACAGTGACACATGGAGAGTCATAATGGAAATGGTCACACTGATGTGTGATGCACAGTGTTTTTCCTCAACCTTCAGAAGGTGTGTAGGAGTATGTTGAAGTACTCACAGAGTAATGAGGTCCCATGGCTCTGATAGCATGTCCTGTCAGAGTGGCGATAGTGAAAAGCTGAGGAGACACCTCCTTCAACGCCTAAAGAAGCACACAAGAGGTCCACACTGCTGTGAGCATGTAAGATATGCTGCAGCTGCATGAATAGGTAATCATAAATCCCGTAGGAGATCTAGACAGGTGGAACTGGGGGAGGTGGAGGGTTTCGGAGGAACTACAGTGAATGCTGAACCAGACAATTTAAATGTTGAGCAAGCAATCTCACTGGTGTGATGTTAGCAGATTATATGTAATGGGTTTGTCAGCCTACAACATCTAGAGTTTCATGACTGAAATAAATAATATACAAAACCATAACTAAACTAAATTAAAACTTTAAAAATCTTTATTATTTGAAATAAATCAAAAATAAAATTATAAATATTAAATGACAAAATTTAAACTTCAACAAATTAATAACTGAAAAATTAAAAAAATCAAGCTTATTCAAAATTGTAACTTGTAATTCTAATACAAATAA